GCTGAGACGTGCTAATGTATGTAACTTAGTCATATACAGTATGAAGATTACAATGTTATTAAATGATTAATGTTTTTAAAGATTAAGATGTAGACATCAAACTAACAAAACACCCCGATCAAGTTCAAGCAGGTAAGTTTTCATTACATTTTTAATATTTAGAGCTGTTATGAATATTATTCCATATTTTAATTTGAATTTGAAATAAACCGCCGTTAGCGTATACGTAGTTAGGTACCGAACTTGGTACCGAGAACCGTGGATTTTCGCTGGTATCGGTACCGAATACTGAAATTTTGGTACCGTGACAACACTAGATGTAATTATGAAGTACAGAAACATGTATAATCGCAGCATGAGAATCATTCATTCGTTTTACGATGACCATTAAGGGACACATTTTAATATGCAAAGTAATAGAGTGCTTTGGAATTACTTAAGAGAAATTATTTTCATAACCGAGCACAGAAAGTGCATTGTTATAATTTTTGGAACATATTTTACACATCTTAACGAGTAATCAAGAATGTACCTACATATGAATCCCTAATTTCCAGACCTGGAAAAGCTAGGCCAAGCTCTAAAGTCTTTTTAAATCAGTAGAAATTAAGCTTTATAAAAGTGTAATCACTGTAACAAAAAAAAGTGAACTACTTTCCATTCAGTCTCCCATTGTGAAGTGTAAAGGGAAAAAATGCCTTGTACATCAGAATTGCATAAAAACACAGACAAGATTGATTTTTTTTTTTTAAATGCTTTTATTTTACCGATTAAAAGAAAATGCATTCGTTCAACATTAATTCAAATCAACATTCGGCTGGTTTACCCAATATCTGTCAGTTAACTTTTTCCCAAAGGTTTTCCTTCTTTATCGTGGAACCTCAAGATCACTTTTTCTCATTAAAATCTTCCCACCTGGCATGTTCACACCTGTGCCAGAATACTTCCTGTTTGCAGATGTACATATAAAATCCAATGCTATGTGCTCACCGGAGACAAAAAAGTAGACAGAATACACCTGCCCACATATTAAACATTTAAGATGGTAAAACCATTTTTGCAAAACAACAACGCTTATAAACTTTTTTCAATGTCCATAAATAGAACCCGGACATGTGTTGCATAAAAGTATATACGTTGATATATATACGCATATGCACATTTATGTTATCTTATTTAACTCCCCGTTAAGTTTATAAGGTAGCAGCGTGGTCTTAGCACTGCTGGTGCCCCATGATGGCCACTTCTTTATTGCAAACTGTCCTGATTTTAAACAAATGCACAACATTCGTACCACTTATAACTGGGGCCTTCTGGCCAGTCTCATAGAGACCATGTCTGTAACCCACGGTCGCCCCTGAAACGGAGTTGGCTTCCGAAGAATCAAGATCTTAAAACAATAATAATAATAACAATAGTAAGGCCAAGTATCATTGCAAGTTAGGTTATTTCCATTTGAGTGACAGAAAAAAGAAAAGAAAAAGCCAAAGAAAGAAAACCGAGTTAAGAGCCATTGGATCGTATGCATTCCGTTTGCATAGTTTTTGACTTTGCCGTTAACGCAAGCCGACCAGAGAGAGAAAGAGAAAGAGAGGCCCGCGTCAAGCTAGAGATCGGACCTGCAGTGGAAACTCAGACTGTTCGTTTTACCAAAGGCTGGCGTGAGGTCGATAATCAGTAAGGTAGCGGTCTGAAAAAAAGCTATAAATCACTGACCGTCTCAGATGGGGTCATAGCAGGCCTCTTTCTCCTTACTATGAGATTGTGAAATGCATATAACGTTTCCGAAAGAAAGAAAAATCTGGGATCCAACTGAGTTGTAACAACCGACTGGTCACATCGATCGTCAATAAAAACCTACGCTTGCTCTCAAATGGCTCAAGAATTTCATCGTAGGACCAGTCGAACGCTGATTCCAGGATCCCGAACCAAAACAGAATAAAAGAGTAAAAAAATATTCATTTCATGCAGACATTTGGCCATTTTAGTTTGTTTTTAACTCCCCAGTGGAATGTTCCTAACACGTCTCATAGCAGCTTATAGGTCCGATAGAACCAACCTTGATTTTCAATAGTTAAATTACATTCACTCTTCACAGTGAAACAGGTGCATTGTAAGAGAGATCTAACGTATGTTGACCAAAGCCACAGCACAGCTGTGGACCACCTCCCAAATCCAACCATTAGTACATTTATCTAATAGTAGTTGTCGTAATACGATAGTAGTAGTACATCTCGGCCCATCAGCCATTGGCCCTGCCCTCTGCCAGCATGCGGGCACTTCGAGAAAAAAAAATAAAAATGTGTCGTATCACCGTTATCTTTGGCAGATGATGCGCTGACAGAAGTTAAATCCAGTGACTTTGTTGAGAAGATTCTTCATTAATGGAAACTTTTAACGGTGAGAGGCCTGAGCTATTGGACTCCATTTTGTTTCCTCCACACGTCTAACAGTAACCCTGAGAATGGCTGTTTCCTGTTCACTGCTGAGGAAGTGGTACGCTTTGTACTGAACACACACCTCCTTCTCTGATGGATGCACTTTTTGAATGTTTACACGACACACTCGCACGCACGCGCACACAGAGAGATTGCAAAGAAAAACAAGACGAAAACGCTGATGCTATGTCTTTGTAACGCTTCGTAGACTTGGTCGACCGGGAACATATGGTGACGTGGGTTTGAAATGAAAGCTATTCGGGGTTGTAGGCACGGTATGAATGCTTTAGCAGTTTGTAACGTGTCGTACGCAGTCGTTCTCCGCCAACTCTAGACAAAAATCGATGTACAACGAACAAGCTCCGAATTAAGAACACACTTATTGAAATTGTTTTTTTGGTGCTGTACCAAGTAGAACTTTTTGAAATTAACAAAAAAAAAAACCAGAATCCTGGCACACGTTTAAGAGCATTCCGACATATTCATTACAGCATGTTAGGCACCTATGTTAACGCACCTGAAAACAGCATTTTTAGTCTGTGGTTTATTCAAAAAGGGAGTGAATTTAACGGATTTTAAACCACAATGACCCTTTTTGCGTTCTGTGCCACCAACCACGAAAATCTGCCGTTTTCACCAATGTTGACATAGGTACCACAATAGGTTGTAAACTTGTCAACATTTAGTCAATCTGGATCTCTGCTTCGCATTTATAAAATGTCGAATTACATCAACCCTTCATGCACATGCCAAGAGTTGTTCGATCTCATTGGTTAACTACTTCAAACCTTTTTTGGACCACAAACAACAAATCCCGACAAGATCATAAGCTAAATTGCTAGGTCACCCCTCACTTGATAAGCTTGCATATAAAGATCGTTTTCATGCTGCGAAGGTTTGCTTTGGCTGTACGTTGTTTTTGTCATAAGCGCAGATCTTCCATGAAGATTGGGGCGATGGCTTCCATTTCAAACCTGGTTTGGCTTTGGGTAGTCGATACCGCCAAATAACAGGAAGTTCTGAGGCCTGACAGATTAACGGTTTGCTAGGCAACTTAACGGTTTTAAAAAGCACTCCGCTCTTTGACGAGTCGACAAAATAAAGATATGCTCATGAAAGAGGGGATTCTGCAGAGGAAAAACACTGCCGCTTTCAAGAAGGCTTTAGTTTGACATTCACTTTTTTCAGCTATGCAAGTAACCGCAACCTCCTTCGACTATGATTTAAAAAAAAACAAAGACAATATATGTAAAAGCAAACAACACACTGACTTCAATTGCTAAACTAGACACCGGAAATTAGGAAATTAGACACCGGATGAAAAAATAAAACCAGCAACTTCTAAAGCGCATTCTTTTGGAAGAGCTTTCTTTCCTCCACAAACACTACAAAGTCTTGCCCATCGAGCATGCCAACCCTTTGAACGAAGCTTCAACAAAAGCTTTCGACTGGAAAAGTACCACAAGTGCAGGAATCCTGAGATATGGAACAAGCAAACGTCTGTCTCCCACCATCTAATGTTTTACAGATGAAACACCACGGCCTGGATTCAATCCGTTCGGAGCGTGTTCGCCCTCAATTACGATCCGTCGCTCAAGTTGACGCACTTCAGTAGGGAATTACAACAATGTTAACTCCAAACAGACCGAGGCCATAAACACACTGATTATGAAGTAGTAAGGTGGAGTTCAAGGCAACTGTGACTCAAGAAGAACAATTAAAACTGACAGAACAGCTGATTGTTTTCACTCTTACCAAAATATCATAACCTTCATCTTCATCTTCCTTGTCATATATTTTTGCCTACCTGAGACAGACGGGAAGGACTTCTTAAAACAAAAAACACACACAAGAAAACAAGAAAAAGAACAAACACCTATGGCTGGGCCCAGATATTGTGCTGCAGGGCGGTCAGCATGCAGGTGTCATACACCAGACTGAAAACCTCTATGATTGGTTTCACCAGCAGAGGTGCGTCTACTTCCAGGTTGAGAAAAACCAGCGGGATCTGCGTCCCGAACACGTCGTTTCCACCAATCCTCATTTCTGAATAACAATTACATACTGAGGAACAATGAGGAAGGGTCGTAACTGCTGTGGATCAGTCCTGTCCCTTGGCTGGAAGACTAATCTCCCTATAAAAAGGTCAACGTGAACGTGGGATTTCGTCGTTGCAGAAGCCAAGAAGGATCAATTGATAGTTTGAGGTAACTCCACACTTTCTAGGGGGAAACCAACAAACAGACAAAGCGAGAGAATGAACAACTCACTGTACAACTTTAAGCTAGCTGTATAAAAGCGCCTCTCTACCATTCACTCAATTAGCTACTAAACCAATACCCAACTATACTTTCCTAGTAATAAGCAGGATATATAGATATAGATATAAATATAGAGCTAATACTGATTAAACACAGCACATATAAAGGATTAAATTCACACTACAAGAATAAACAAAAACAAAATCAAAAAGCAATGAAAGAAAAAAAAAAACTATGTAAAATGAGAAGGGCCCATTTAGTGAAAGATCACCAAGCACAGGGTTAGAGAGGGCGTTTGCGTCTACATGCCCGCGCTGAAACTCTGCATTTCGCGGTGGAAGTGCTGAGTGGGTTCGTTCAGGACCACGCTGTTGTCCATGGAGGGATGCCAGACGCGGCCCAAGCCCAGGGACACCTCCTTGACTAGATTGTGGACGGGGTCGCCCTCGATGTACACCGACTGGTCCGGGTCAAAGTCAATGCTCTCTTCAGACACCTCCAGGACTTTGAGGTTGGACCCACGCAGGCGAGAGATGGCCACCAGGTTGTGTGACCACACAGTGTAGCCTGTGGAGCAAGAGAAACGACATGCATGGTAAAATGGCTACTACTCACAAAAAGAGGAGGCTGCTTTATTTACTCACTGATTCTTGAGACATGAGAGAAAAACTACAAAAGTAAAAATACGCTTACATACCAATGGTTAATTTGAATAAAAATTTAATGTGGGTAAGTACTGTCAGATACAAAAATGATGTGTACTCCATGTCAAAAATGTATTATTAATATTGCAATTTTGTATTAAGATTGATGAATGAATAAATTGAGATTACAGGACAAAAAATTACAGTCATGACAAAATAGTATGTTGCCCAGCACACGTTTTAAATCCAAGAGCCATTTTGTTTTCCTGCTGTTATTGGCTAATAATGTCACCGATTTAAAAGGAGGGAAATTAACTAAAAACAGTTATGAAAAAGGTTATGGAGCTGAAATATCATAGAAATAAAATAGATAAACATTTTTAGGCAGCGTTATAAAAAACAATAATAATAATAATAATAATTATTATTATTATTATTATTATTAACGCAGGTTGGTGCTGTGACGGACCAAGGCTTTCCAATCGTCCTCGGTGGCGGTACCATCCAAAGGCTTGACGTCCAAAGCAGCACCATTGAGCAAGAGGGAGAGGCGATGGAGGGGTGTTCGGTCACCGCAGGCGAGGAGACGGCACATGTCTGAGGTGAAGTCGCAAAATTCCAGGGACAGAGACCGCAGGTGAATGAGCCTTTCCAGTTCGATGGTGGAAATCAGGCTGGGCAGCTGGTTGTCGATCAGACTGAGGTGCTCGAGGGAGCTGGTGCTGGGGTTGGAGAGAGAGGCCAGAGAGCACGGGGTCACCACACCGAGCATGAACGCAGACGACAACCACTTCAACTGCCTGCTGTTGGACAGGATCTCTTCGAAGAGCTGCTGGATCCTACAACAACAGGATGAAGTAGAACACATTATACATTTTTAAAGTTAAGTAAACTTAAAGGCAGCACAATGATGCAAAAACACTCACTACCATTCAGAAGTATGGGGTCAGTCATTTGTTTCAAAAAAAATAAATACTTTTATTCAGCAAGGATGCATTAAATTGATCAAAAATGACAGTAAAGACTTTTACACAGTTTACAAAAAAATAAAAATAAATGAAAATGTGTCTTTTGTCTACTAATATACATTACAGTACACCCAGTAGCAACTGAATAAATATTATATAAAAACTATAAATAAATACTTCATAGATAGACAGACAGACAGATTTTAGTTATTTTTAGATATATATTTAGTACAAAGTACAAATATTGCTGAAATAGATCCTAGAACAACTGGATGAAGTAGAACACATTATAAATAGTCATAAATCTTTGCAATAAGACATATTAATTTTTAAAGTTAAATAAACGTAAAGGCAGCACAATGAGACCAAAACACTCACTACCATTCAGAAGTATGGGGTCAGTCTTTTTCTTTTTTTTTTTAAGAAATTAATACTTTTATTCAGCAAAGATGCATTAAATTGATCAAAAATTACAGTAAAGACTTTTACATTTTACAAAAAAAAACTTTTAAATTATTTTTGTCTTTTGAACTTTGTTCATTAAAGAATCCTGAAAAACCTAAAATATTATAAGATTGTTTTCAACAATCAAATCAGCATATCTGAATAATTTCTGAAGGATCATCTGACACTAAAGACTAGTAATGACTGCTGCTAGATTGCATAAATATTTTAAAATTATTAAAACAGAAAATAGTTATTTTAAACTAATATTTCACAGTATGATTGTTTTTACTGTATTTTTATTCAAATAAATACAGCCTTGGTGAGCATAAGAGACTTTTTTCAAAAACACTCTTTGAATTAAACATAAAATGCAGAAATATCATGTAACATACGTTTTAAAAATATTATCCAACAGCAATACTATTTTTAAACAATAGGAAGTATACTGTTTATACACTGTGCAATAAGCTAGTGTTCAAATCTGAACACAGCCCAAAACAAAGGTTTGTTTGTTTTTTTAATGCCATGCCAGCTTCTGTGGCTATTTTCATAGTGAGAAGGTTTTCAACCACATATTTGTGACCCTGGACCACAAAATCAGTCTTAAGTCGCTGGGGTATACAGGTGCATCTCAATAAATTAGAATGTCGTGGAAAAGTTCATTTATTTCAGTAATTCAACTCAAATTGTGAAACTTGTGTATTAAATAAATTCAGTGCACACAGACTGAAGTAGTTAAAGTTTTTGGTTCTTTTAATTGTGAGTCTCAATTTCGAAAAATTGACCCTTATGACTGGTTTTGTGGTCCAGGGTCACATATGGTTTTTACAGTCTATTTTTGCTAAAAATGCAAAAACCTGTATTTTGCATAACTTTGTTAATTTCTTCTAAAGTGCTAACCGAGTAAAAAAGATTTCTCTCAGGGTTAAAACCAGCACAATCTAATAATACAAGCTTCATGGATCAGCCCAAAACAGAACAGGTTCCTTATACCTAGAACTAACAAGATAATCAGAATATTTGCAAAGCCAGCTTCCTTGATTAGATTTCTTCCACCGAGTGTGCCATTTCAGTATAAGATGGTAATCAGTTTACAAGAGTGAAAGGTAGCTTTAAAACATACTCTTTCATTCTCTTGCCCCCTTGGTCGACCTGGCTGAGGTAAGAGCTGTCCAAAATGCCGTCATCCTGAAGAATGCATGTGTCCCCGTAGAGACTCAGCTTCAGGAGGTTTCTGGAGAGGAAAAAGAGGAAGTGTGAGTCTCGTGTCTTGCAAATGTAAACAAACTCGAGCAACCAGACTGATAGATATCAGATATTCCATTCTCAATTCATATGTGACTTGAATGAAATCATATGAAAACATTGTTCCTGAAACTTCAAAATCAACAGACATTGTCTTTTTATGACAAATTCAAACTATTCTTATGTTTAAGTGTCTGATACAAAGAATCAACCAATTAATTTGAAGTCAATTCTCAAACCAATTATCAAACTATTTCTACACCAAAGAACCTACATTCAGCTCTTTTTTTCTGTTCTGTGCACATTTCAAACTATAGCCTGTTGTTTAAATGGCAAGCCCTGGACTATGAGTCCTTCTAGAGCTTTTCTATTGTACATAAACAGAATCGTAGGTTACAATCAGCATCAGGAAACATAATGAAATACAAAGCCAGTCTTGTTTAAACGTTGTATTGTAAGATTCTAAAGTTTCTGTTAGAATGTTAACAATGCAGTAAGGCTTGTGGGAGTTTAGACAGTGGTTTTAACATTTACTCCTTATAACTAACTAGCATTTATTTTCTGTTAAAGTGCTTATTCTTTCCAAGTAAGTCTAGTTCCAAAAGTAACTAGAATGATTTTTCAATTTCACTAGCAAATAGATAGATGTACTGTTTGTTACTAGTCACCAGTCACTATCCTCTCAATACAACTGTTACTGGTAATTGTTACAAATTGCACATTTTGCCATCAAATTAAAGATGCATGCTTTAGATTAGAATGTATTATACTTTGAATTTCAAATTTTTTGAATTATTTTATTAGGTACTAGATTTTTAGTTACTACTCAAATACTTACTAGTATACATTACAGTTCACCCAGTAGCAACTGAATAAATACTATATAAAAACTATAAATAAATAATTCATAGACAGATTTTAGTTATTTTTGTACATATTTGGTGCATTGTGCAAATATTGCAGAAATAGCTCAAATAATACGTTTTTATATTTGCTTTCTGTCAGTTAATATTCATTTCAAGTAAGATTTTTATTGTTATACATTTAATGTTCTGTTACTAGCAACATTTTTTAATCTTTTTACATTTTAATTTAACCATCCTAACTAATCATCACATTCTATTAACCATTCTAACCAAATCATTACATGTAACAAGAAATTATAAGCACACAAAAACTAGTAACAACGGAGATAGATATTAAAACCTACAAAGAAAAAAACAGGTAGTACTAGTATCTACTAAAAAGTACTAGTAACTATTAGACGTTATTAGAAGTTAAGCAGATAAAGCTAAACAGGTACCAACAATTTGAATACAGACTAGATGGAAGAGAAAAACTGGTATCTGAAACACAGAGCCCCATAGAACTCAGTGGTATTAAAAAAAATGTAATTTGACCAGTTACCTCCCACTAAAGGAACAGTAACTAGTACTAGCATCCTATGAATAGGTACTAGTGAGACTGAGAAAGATACGAGTCATTATTGGATATACTTACTAGTATATAATATACAGTACTAGTAACAAAAATAGGTACTAGTTAGTCGTTAGTTCGGCTTGTCATAGGAGGTTATGGCGGTTTGGATATGCACAAAACAGGCAGCCATGCGATGCTTCAGACATGAGCGTTACGTAATGCGCAGGGTTTGTTTATGGCTGCTGGTGCTCATCAAATGCAAGCTAAGCAAAGCAGCCAGAAAGGAGGTGTAATGTCAACACCAACGCATGCAAACCGTGCCCAGATCCATATACCTGTTATTACGCAGACTGCCGAGCACACACAACACTTGATCCAAATATGTCACCATCGCATCTTTCGCGAACTGCGGGTCGCTCTCGACGGCTTCCATTCCGTGCTGCAGCGGGCTTAAACATCCGTCCAGCGGGGCGAACTCCAGCTGCAGCTCCCGCACGAACGAGCCGAACTTGCGCATGAGGAACTCTAATCGCGGGGTTTGTTCTGATCCAGATCCGCCGCCGTTGGTTCCGCCACCGACGCGCAGCTTGAGCTCCGTCCACAGCGCAGGGTAGAAAAGACACTCCCTCCAGCGAGAGCATACGGCCGAGGCCCGGAGCTTGTCTCGGTCTGACAGGAAGGAGAATATGTGAACGATAAGCTCGCTGGGTAACGCCAAGGCTCCGACGCTACTGCACAGAGCCATGGCAGGAGGCTGGAAAGAAGCAATGAAGATTAAAACGCAACCGTTACACAACTCCGCGCCTCTCCTCTCCGCACTGCCACTGCGCTGCTGAGTGAAAACAAACAACTGCGCGATAAGCTTTGCTTTCAATACTACTGGATCAGTCCACTTTCGTTTTCATAATAGGGGCGGCGAGAAACTTATCAGGAGATGATGTGCACGTGCTGAGCGAAAATGAGATGTAAATATATAATATTGAAACGTACACACTATTAGACACAACTAGTGTCTGGTAATATTAATTTGACTTTTTAATTCGTGTAATGCACTTGTAGTCAAATAGGTGGTTGCAGTGGTTCCTTCCGAAATTGCCTTATTTTTGCCATACAACGAGTGGCCGAAAGAGGGCGCAGGAATTTTCCTTTTAACCACGGCACCAATTTCTCATCTCTTTCAGACGCTTTTATCAATCAAATATGTGCACATGGTAATATCCCCTTCAGTGGTTCTCAACCTTTTTTGGGCCAGCGCCCCCTACCCATTATTCAGGTACCTCACCGCCCCCATCAAATAAAAAGTAGTCTAATTGTCTTCACAGACTATTGAAGTTGATTATTATTTTGTGTTTATAATGAGGACTGGTATTATATTTACAGTAGCATTAAAATGTATGGGGTCATTACTTTTTTTAAAGAAATTACTTTAATTCAAGGATTAATTAAATTGATGAAAAAAATGAAATGACAGTAAAATACACTTTTAAAATAGATTATTTGAAAATAAGTGCAATGACATTTATTTACAGAGTTTTTAAGCATGTTTGCGATTTTTATTGCTAAAATATTTGGTGACGTTGTTGCCCCAAATTTGACTTGATAAAAATTCCTGTTTAGAATATATCCACAGGGGCATTTTTACAGAAGAGATTTTTTGTTCTTCCGTTCCTGGCAGAGTGAGCGGAGTGGAGCGGCGTGATTTTTGACTGGAGCGAGAAGTGAATTTTTTTAAAGTCGGAGTCACTCCAAGAGCGCTCCACTACCTCTCTATCACGAGCACAATTAATGCCAACAGCCCATAATATAACTGCATTTTATCAAGAATTCACGCATTAAACATCATTAGCTAGTTTGACAGATATGTGGATCACTCAAATCAGAAAGAAGGTGAGGGTTATAATGACGGCGATGGACAAGTGCAGGAGGTTATATCTCAAGCATGTTTGTTTGTAGCATGTGGACAATCAAAACTGACTGGCTGAATTCCCATTTTAAACAGTTTATTGTACAGGTAGCTAATCTCTGCTCTTAACTAATGTGCTGCTACACCGCACGCACACACAACACACAAGCTCGCACATAATGTACAGATCGTGTGCACATAGAAACATTCAGGAGTGCAGAAAATTGTCAACACTGTCCTGTGATTTATCATTTATTCACTTTCAGTGAAACATAATAGGCTAATATTTATCTCTTAGTTTTAGAAAATACCGTTTTTGAGAATATATTGAATTTCCTTTTTTTTCTGACATAGTGGACATGGTCATTTTGGTCTGTAGATACCCCATTTATACATGCAAATGGAAGAAATATAAACCCCCTTTACTGTATTTCATGATTTTGTGAGAATATTTCAAAGTTTGCTTACAAATGCTTAAAAGAAAATGAAGTAATAAGATGGGAAACATTTGCTCCTCATTTTCAAAACTATTTTAGTGCTGTTCTGATTCATATCTTCGTTAGTCCATTCAATTTCAAAACTTGCTTTTGTGTCAGTGTGGTGTGCCAGTTATAATAATAATAGGAAATGTTTTTGAGCAGCAATCAGCATGATTTCTGAAGGATCATGTGACACTGAAAGCTGGAGTATGAGAGGAAAACAGAAAGAAAAGAAAAAAGAAAGCAGTTCTTTCACATTGTAGATGTACTGTTTGCTGTTTTTTTTTTTTATCAAATAAATGCAACTTTACTGAGCGGAAGAGATTTGTTTCAAAACCATTAAAAAAATCTTACTGACCTTTTTTTTTTTTTGGAATGGTAGTGTATAGGCTATATTTTATTTGAAATGTTAACCTATTTTAAAAGCATGTATTTTAACCCAAATATAACAGCCCACAGTAGCCCATAAATAATTTGAAAAATATGAAAGGACTTGAAATACCATTATCATTAGTTTCCAACGGAGCAAAAAAAGCCAGGTGAATATAAATTAGGCTATATTTATGAGCGTTGAATAAACTCTTGAAATTTGGCATTCAAACCAACCGCAGCCAAACAGCAAACAAAAAGCATTCATATTATTTTTTCTAAACAAGAAAAAGCATACTGTGCTTTAACGTGTCTAAATGTTTGCTATTGTTTTCACTGAAGTCTGGCAGCTGGGCTACAGAAAGCTATGGAAATGATAGTTTAGAAGCGGTAGTAGCTATTGGTGTAAACTAGCGGCTTACACTAACTAACACTACTACACCGCCCCCCGATGCTCTCCGGTACCGCCCCCGTTGAGAAACACTACCTTAGAACCATAAAAAAAAGTTTTGTGAATTTTGTTGTTTTTTATGTCATTACATTGGTTGGAGCATAAGAAACAAATTGAGAAAAAAACATTTTTGAAAAAAATATATTTCATTCCTATTTTATTCTATGTCCTTTGTAGAGGACACCAGGTTTAAAAAAAGACACGTATAGGCAAAACCAATGGTTTAAGCTGAAACCTAAACATTGTTTTAGGCAATGTTTAGGTTTCAGGCTATTTTTGACCAAACTTTGTGCAAAGATGATTCTTAACTATGTTATAAAAAGATAACAGAATGATTTGATATATTATTTTACTTCATGCAATATGTGCGTAAAATGTCCATAGATTGGTATTACCATTCTATACAATGTATCTATACATTGCATCTAATTTGTATATTAATGTGTTCTTGGGGGGAAAAAACCATAATGAAAAAAGAAGTGTTATAATGGGAGTAACAACTTTTCATAAAAATTTCGAATATTTCATAGGAATATTGATCTATAATTTCTTTCCCTATTAACCCCAAAATGCCTGATTAACATGATGTTTGTCCTGGTGTCTTCTACAGAAGACGTGTATGAAAATTATGCCCTGTTTCGTAACAAAAAGTCATATTCCGATTTGAAACTGCATAACATTTTTTCTGAGAAGTTTATTAACGACAAACAATTTGAAAATTAGTCAGATTTAAATTATAATTACAAAACATTATCATATTTCTCTAAGAGTGCTAAATTTGATCATACTGTCAGTATCAGTCATTTTTATAGACCAAGGAAAGGGAGTGTTTATGATCAACCCTCCAAACTTTTGATATCTCTAAAAAGCCCTGAATGGGCTCTGTAGGACATCCCGACTGGATGAAAAAAACTGTGGCATGTATGGTCTCAAAGAAATTCACTAAAATATAATGTCCTCTACAGAGTCTATGCCAAGGAGGAGGGGAAAATAATACAATTATACTTCTTACCCTATTTGGGAAATATAATATACATAAGTCAAGATATATATCAGCACAGGCTATTTTCCATTGACTTAAATATTGAATGATTCTTTAATTTTTAGTCGCAAGATGAATGAATCCCCATGTCTTACACTGTTGGGATTTCAATTAAAAATACTGGAAAAGAACTTGTAGAGACCTGAAAAGGTCTACAATACAAAAAATGACATGTTGTAATAAATGAAGACTTGTAGTTAGGACTCCAAAAGTGACTTTAGCTGTGAAACAGGGGTTTTCAATCAATCTGATGCCGGGGACCCCTAAATATGATGATCCCCTGCATGAGACCCTCTTCCTAAAATAGACAGCTAAATATTTTTATTGTATAAAGAATATGCTATGTGATAAAAAGTGATATTATTATTATTATTTTATACAAATAAAAAAAAAAACATGTTCTTTGCTAAATTAAACCAGGTTGTGTGTTGTAATTGTGTTAAAAACCAAAAGAAATAATGAAAATAGTATGATTCTAAAATAATCCAGGAAATATTCACTTTGTGAACAGCGTATATTTTACCGACTCCAGCTTACTGAATTCAGTTTCAATTATACTTTAAAAAAAAGCTTATTAAATGTGTAACAATGCATAATAGAAATACACAAAAAAAGAAAAAGAAAACATAAAAAGGTGTAAAAAGACATAAAAAGGTGGTGCTAGCTTTCATTTATTAGTCATTTAAAAAAAACACTACTGACAAGTTTTACTGGGAGTGCAGACAACAGAAAGCCATTCTTTTTTGATTAAACTTGATCTGGGCGAGCAAAGATAAATTGTCACGGTGTGCCTACTGTGAAGGAGCGAGGAGACGAAGGAGCAAGGAGTTTGTTTCAAAAACAACTCAGAAGGCCATGGCTGGACGGTCTCCGTGGCCTTGGCCTCGCCACTACGGATGGACCCATACCCCCCCAAAAAAAAAATCCTTGGGGAGAATATCGTCTTTAAAGGCCCTCCGTAGGCCTAACTCGGGAACAGTGGCCCTTCCTGGGCTTGACTTGGGGACTGGAGCCCTCACTGGGCTAAACTCGGGGACTGGAGCCCTCACTGGGCTAAACTCGGGGACAGGAGCCCTCACTGTGCTGGATTCGGGGACAGGAGCCCACACTGGAGCGAACTCTGGGGCTGGAGCCGACCACCTTCTCCTCCTAAGATTTCCCTTTAGGTTCGGGGTGAAAGGCGTGGTCGGCAGGCTGGAGAGAACCGGCGGGCTTGACGGCAGGCTGGTTCTGGCCCGGACACTCCCCAGACACCGGTAGATCCCTTCCATCCAGCGCAATACCGGACAGGAAACAAGGGGCAGAACACACTTTATATACTAGACTAGAGGAGGGACAAAATGAGGAACACCTGGGAACAATATCAAACACAATCAACATGGGAAACCTGGGACATGGAACATGTGGGGGAGGAAAACACATGACAGAAATCTGTCTGACAGAAATCAATCTTGGTAATTATTTTGTGTGAAATTATAATCTTGTCAAACATTAATCACGCTGAACAAACTGAGCCTCATATTTGCACAAATAATCTGACTTTTAAGGAGTTATGAATTAGGCTATTACTATTTGTGT